TTCTGACAAAACTCCCTAAACACATAGGTCTAGTAAGGGTTTCCAATGTGGTGACAGGTGAGGAATGCAGCAAGAAGTGGCATTTAGTTTTTTTTCGGAAAAGAAATCCACCAACATGCTTCCAGAAAAGTAATCTGAACAAAATTACAGTCATTTTTTAGCTTTCTTCCTAAACTTAAAAATATCCTATTGCTTATCTTCCTCCGTTATTTTTTTTTTCTGTCTGCCACAGCTTATATGAAAATCAGAATTCCTTTATCCATGTAAGATCCAATGTTACCCAAGAGGTGTTTTAATCACATGTAAGTATCATTTATTATTGGGTTGGAATTATGTGGGGAAATGGAAGAAGTACATGATAGATAAGGGAGGTAAGAAGGAAATTAATATCAGAGCACCTACTATGTGCTGAGTGTGTATGCATACTTTGAACGGATGATTCTAGAGGCAAGAGTGTTACACTCTAGAGGCAGAGTGTTACATTGGTAGTTGGGAAGAAGGCAGGACCTGGTTTTTTATTTTGTGAGAAAAACAAATGGCAAGTTGAGAGTCTGCACTCATTGGCTGCTAAACAGCAAAGTGTCTGGCTCCAAGAATCTCTAGTTAATCACATACAACTAGACCATTTCTTTTCCTAATTTGATGGAACCAAAATGAAATCCCAAAGACACAGTTACCAGGACAGATCTATTAACGCTACATATGCTGGAAATATGTAGAGAAAGATAAACATACAGTATTACTCGCTTTAATTTTGTGTGTGTTTCTAACCAAAGAGATATCTTTGGAAGAAAATGTTACTGTATACCAAGCATTCCTTATTTGTATCAATTGAGATGTTGTCATCTTACCAATTAAGTGGCTTTAAACCCTTAGTTGATTTTAAGAAGAGCAGCAATATACATTACAATATTTGGGTACACTTTATTTTTATATGGGTTAACATTCTGCTATATTTCATTCATTCGTCCTTTTTTTGAGAAACTGAAAAACAGAAAAATTGAAGGTAATCTGAAGGTTATTTCCAACCAATATCTGAGTCTTGCAGCATTTCATTATGCAGCCCTTTCTTCCCATTATTTTTTAATTTTTTTGCAAATAAGTCATTTTGACCCAAATCCAGCATAAATAGCATTTCAGCGATTCCTAACTTAAGACAACTAAAATTTACAGTCATGTGGCAGTATAAATTTTAAGATTACAGTTCGTACACCTTGACAATCAAGATAGTCTGAAGTACAAAAAGTAAATTGTCCTTTAGCTGAATTACCTTTTAAAATATTAGACCTGCTAGTTAAATCTACAAAAAAATACAAGTTTCAGGTGTTCTTCAAATACCTTTTGTAGATGTCACTTGTTAGTAAACATATGCAGGTTCCTAAAAGGCCCCCCTCCCCCAGTCTATTCATGACATTCAACAGAGCTCTTTATATGGGAATGTTAAAACAAAATACTTTGAGGGGATGTATTTACTTTTGAATGGGCGGGTTATTTCCCTTTGTTTCAGATATGAGGCACAAACTTCTAAATTTAAGCTCTGTAAGGCATCGTACAAACCTCCAATTTACAAATAAGGAATTCTCTGTGGGTTGGAACTGCCGTGTCACGCAAAAAAAAGGGAAAAATCATCTGTAAACTGGTACACTGCAATGTGTTAAGTGAGTCATGAAATGGCTGCTTGCCTTGGTATGCTGAAGAAAGGTTTTTTGGGTTTTTTGTTTCTGGAATAAGACATGCCCAAGTCATAAAACCTGCCACAGGCCTCCGTCCCCTTCAGCCTCAACAGGAGGCCGCTGGCACACGCTTGCAATCAGAATATAATATAAAGCATGAGTAAACTTTTGTTTTTATACAAAACTGAAAAGAATCCCTTCCCGCCCCTAGCCCCTTCGATAAAACCCTGAACAAAGAAATGAAAAAGAAAATCCTTTAGCTTCGACTGACTAATGTGGCTACAGTTAGGTTTCCAGGCGTCACTGCAAGTAGGGTGATCAATTTTTTCCTTTCTCGAGAGAAGGGATCTTGTCATGCACCCTAGGAGGGACAGTGAGGGCCACAAACCTCAATTCTGCATAGCAATTCCATTCCAACTTCATCAAGACACATAGAACAGTCTTTCCCTGTGTTGCTCAGCTTCCTCTGAGCTTTGAGATCAGGTTGAATCGACTACAATCTACTATAGCTCTATTAAATAGAATATCTTGATTCCCTACAACTGTAACACTTATGATCTTGTGATGAGGTTTTCTCTATACACACTGTAGGCCTTCAAATGTTGTTTACATTTGTGTTTTTCCCCCCTCTTTTTTGTTTTATTTTATTTTTTTGCTGCACCAAATTTAAGATCGCCCTTTCAGGCAAGCAGTGGTCTCTAGCTGTTAAAACATTTCCTTAGTGGATCACAATAGCTTCTAAAGCTGCCTTTCTAATAAAGGCCACCAGAGAGGTAATACTAAACTGTGCATTTGCCAAATAAGAATAGGAATTGTATAAAAGCTCATATTCCAATCCTAGGTAAATGGCAAAAGTTCTACAAAGTTGTTTTCCATGTTTGTATAAAAGCTCCAACTGATTTAATGTATTTTGCTATGAAATTACCTTTGGGTCTTATAATCAGTATACCTCTACTCAGGAATGTGCAAATGATTTTATACAGCACGATGCTAGTACCGCTCTGTACGAGAGTAAGGTTTTTTTTTTTTTTTTTTTCTTTTCTAAATGGAAAAAAAAAAATATCCCTAGTCAGAAATAAACTGACAAATTTACATTCTCCTCTCTTAAAAAAGTAAATAAAATAACATTATTCAAAATGTGAATTAGCTATAAGACATACAATTACATAGATACATATCAATACAGCACATTCAATCTGCCAAAACAATTAATGATCACAAAGCCAGTATGGATGCTGATATTGAGAGAGAGATGTATGTACAATGATTAGAGCATTCATAATTGCACTATACTTACAGGCAGTCTGTTTCTTGATTAAATTACAGGTGCTTTCTGAGCAAGGAAAAAAAAAAAAAAGTAACCTGTGTCGTTTGAGGCTGGGAGACTGAGAATGAGAACACTGCATTACCAGTTAGTAGTAACCCTGGTCCTCATCGAATAAGCCAACCATTTTCTCCCTCCCCACTGCTGTGTCAAGAGAGTGATTTCCATGGAAGTTCAGATTTGTGCCAAATAGCATTATCGTTAAAATGAGACCCGCGTCGTGGCCTCATTCTAACTTCCCAGCAGGTTTAAAACAATCAGGATTTATTTTCTTAAATCCTATTTCAACTCACGCTGCTTGACAGGAGAGCTCATCAATGCACACGCTGTATTTTTTTTTTTTTTTGCGTTTGTTGGAAATGGCACACAGAGAACGCCAGATCTCTCTCCAAGCAGGTTCAGTGACATAAACACGTGTTCTACAGAACAGTGAGAGGCTACTTTTGAGTTTAGTCCACAAATCTTCCTTAAGTTCTACTTAACCAGTCACCAGTTTAAAAAGATCCAAAGGTGGTCAACAAGCAGTAGCTTCATATTTTGCAAATGAAAGGTGTCAGAATAATACTATCAATCAGTGTTCTTGGCAGACCTTACTGGACCTTAAAGAACAGAAAGAGTACAACTGGCTTCAAATGAAGAGACACAAGCAAATGTCACGTTGCATCACAGAGGACACTCTTCCACATTGCCAGTTTGGACACTCGACATGGAACGTGGAGACTCGACAGTAAGAACTAAAAAAGAATGGACCGTGAGAATCAAATGTACAGTTACCAATTGTTTGGCAATTGGTGTTTCAGATTCATTCTCAGCCAATCATTTGAGGCTTCACAGTCTTATTCTCTTGCATTTTTAAGATACTGGCTCTTATCATTCAAGTTCTTATTCTGATTTACAAAAAGCCAGCTTTGGCAACACAGACCTATAATAAAAATCATCTAAAAACTGTGGCCCAAACACTCAGAAAAAAAAAAAAAAAAAAGGAGGGAAAATCCTAACCAGGGGGAAAAAAAATTAAGAGCAACCTATGAAAAGGCCCTGGGTAGCAGCCACTGGGGGAAATGTAGTGTCTGTTGGCATTTTTTTTTTCTCTTTTTTTCTTTTTGGCATCTGCGATTTAAAGAAGAGAGGGTGAAAAAAGAAAAAAGCAAGGAAAGTAGGAAGGATGATGGCACATGGCATTTCAAAAGAAAGGACTCCTTCCGCGCGTCTCTGCCCTCACCTCACTGACTTCTGCACGTCTCTCTGAGCAGCCACACTGTGGCTGAAGGCAGGAATCCAAAAGGAATGACACTTCACTGTTAGACAGGCATCCAGGCCAAAGTGAGGCAAGACAATATACTTATATAAAAACCTCTATATGTGCATCCAGAGCAATACATTTAAAACCATAGTATTAATACTTATACTCCTTCAGCAAAAAACTACAAACTGTTCAACTAAGCTGATGTTAATGGCTTAAATCGAATGATGTCATCCTGAACTGTTTCATTCGAGAGAAAAACCTGACCAAGGATGGAACTAGGATAAAGGCCATTGTAACCTGGGAAAACTCAGGAGGGAGGTATGGGTTAGGAAACAGGAAATCAGCTTCATTTTGCTAAATAGGAGAAAGTTGGAGGAGGGGAGGGAGAGGAGAGGGGAGAGAGGTAAAGAGAGGGACAGAAAGGGAGAGGGAAACAACGAATCAACTCTTAATCTTTGTGAGTACATGACTGAGAATTTAAAATACATTGAGTCACGAGGTTTTTGCCTAAAAAAAAAAAAAAAAAAAAAAAGATAGAGAGGAAATGTGCTGGGACTGTACTTCAGCATTCTGCTTTTCCTCTGAATAGTTAAATAAAATCATAATATTTACTATAAACTCTGTGGACACGCTCACACAGAGTCCAGGACGGCAATAAATTAGTATTATGCAAATTGCTTTCCACAGAAATACAGTCCCTCTTGTACAGCTTCCAGAGCCCACCAAGGAAGGAAAGGGCGGTGTCGAGGAGGCACAATTAGACCAGATTGTACTCCTTCAGGTTCAGCTGGAGGATGGTGTCCTTGACGGCAGCGAAGACAAAGCGGATGTTCTCGGTGTCGGTGGCGCACGTGAAGTGGGAGTAGATGATTTTGTCACTGTCCGGGTTCAGGTCCACGAACATCTTCAGGATGAATTCTCGAGCTGCCTGGGCATCTCTCTGGGGTCCTGTTGACCAAGGGAGGAGAGAGACAGCGTGTTAGTTGATGCATCAATGCACTTGCTCAATAAATGTTGATCGGGTCATAGGCATGAAGATGATGTCTATATTGCTCCTTTTTTAAAAATAAGGTACCAAATTCCAGTTGACATATTTTGTTAGTTTCAGGTGCACAACTTAGTGATTAGATATTTATGTAACTTATAAAATGATCACCCAATAAGTTCAATGTGCATCTGAAACCATAATTATTACATTACTGACTATATCCTTGAACATCATAGTGACTCTTTCATAACTTTTACTTGTTAATCTCGTCACCCTTTTCACTCATCGTCCAACCGCCCTCCCATCTGGCAACCATCAGCTTATTTTCTGTGTCTAGGAGTTTGTTTTGTTTTTGTTTTTAGATTCCATATATAAGCAAAATCATATGGTATTGCCTTTCTCTGTCAGACTTATTTCACTTCGCATAATACCCTCTAGGTCCATCCATGTTGTTGCAAATGTCTCGATTTCATTATTTTTTATGGCTGAGTAATATTCCAATTTTTGTATGTACCACATCTTTACCCATTCGTCTATTGATGAACACTTAGGTTGCATCCACATGCTAGCTATTGTAAATAATGCTGCAGGAACAGAGGGGCGAATATATCTTTTCGAATTAGTGTCTTAAATGTCTTTTAATTAACTCACCCCAATGCCTTGCAGGGCCAGACCAAATGATTTCGAGGTTCTATATGGCCCTTGGGTTGGACATTCCCCACCCCTGCTCTGAAGAATATCAGAACTAGACTCAAGTTCATTAAAGAGCCACTTGGAATGTGTTTTGTTTTTAAGATAAATTATGTTATTTGAAAAAACACAAACTACAAAGAAATCTTTATAGTAGAAACACAATTCCACAATCCCTGAACGATTTTGCAATTCAAGCCCATGTGGAAATGATAATTTCCCTTCCTAAAAAGAAACACAGAAATGGCATTCATTATGATTAAGACCTAGTAAGTGCAGAAATGTGGAAGTGTGAAATTTATAATACCATAAACATGTTTATTACAAAAACATCATGCAGAGTGGGCCTAGCATTTGTACAGTCTTCTCTCATCTTACAAGGGCCTTGGGTCTCGTGAAATGACAGCTGCATTTGCTTTGTGAATAACAAAGAGTCTCCATGCCACGGCCAAGTGTCCTGTGTGTGCTATGTGTGTATTGGAGGAGACAGACAGTAAATACCATCTTCAGATTTTAAGACATTCCCAATGGGCACCTGTTGGAAGGAAAATACTCATAGTGATGGGGAATCTGAGGAAAATACAACAAAGAAGATATATAAAGAGATCGGGAAGATGTTGGAGGGAGAGAAAGAGGGAGAGAGAGGGAAAGAGGGAGAAATGAGAAATAGACTTTTATCACAGAAAAATACAACTGATGTGGCTCTGTGTGCTGCACTGAGCAGCAGAGCCTTGGCGGCAGCTGTGCTGTATCTCCCCTCTGTCATCCTGAATGCAAGCACATCATGAGAGCATGCTGGCCCAGGATGGGCACTGTGTATAGGGGAAGGGATTGCTTCCCACCTGCCGATTCTCATCAAATTGAGAAAAATTAGAGGGTTTGAGGGAAGCATGTGCGCTTGGGTGTATGCCAGAGGCTTTGTGCTCGTCTAACTTGGGCAGATGCTGTGTTCACAGAGCATGCCTGTTGTTTGGGAGAGCAAGTGAACTACATGCGAAGTTAATTCCTTCCACAGTTTCTCAGGGAGACTGAGGAATACAGCTTCAGGCATTTATGACTTGGTGGCAGGCTTAGTGACAGAATCAAGGGGAGAAAAGTGAGAACACTTTATAGGGTAGGAAAGTTATCTGGTTTGTTTGTTTATTTATTTATTTATTTATTTATTTATTTATTTATTTATTTTTTAAGAAATACCCAGCACAAAGGAAAATGTACTTGCAGAGGGGACCTTCAGTTCTTTAAAACATGCACCGTCTCCCTTCCTTGTGTGGGATGAAAGGATGAGTGAAACATCTTCCCTGATGTGTCTGTATATTCATAGAGTGCAGTGAAGCCAAATTGAATCATAGTTTTTTAAAGTAATTACCTTCTAGAAGTACAGAAACACTGAACTGATATCCTACCCAGACACCATGTTGATGAAATAATTTTAAGCCATGTGCATGCTCTGTAACAGGTGCTTGGGATTTGTGCTCCTCTGTGGCAGGAACCACATGTGCTCAGTGACTTACCTTTGTGATTCCCTTCAATTCTTTCTCACTTAGGAAGGAAATGAGTAGCTGATAAACTTGTCCATGGCATCGTTGCCAGTGAGAAGCAGGCTGGAGCTCTGATAGGCCAAGCCTGTTCTCAACTACCATTCGGTTCCAGATCCGGTTTGGCAAACCTTCTCGGTAAAGGGCCAGAGTAAATATTTTAGGCATTTGATCTCTGTCATGACTACTTAATTCTGCTATTGAAGCATGAGAATAGTCACAGACAGTGCCCAAATGAATGGGTGTGACTGTTTCAATAAAGCTTTATGAAGCAGTGGCTTGACACTTTCACTATTTTAGCATGGCTGGGTATAGGCACTAGCCAGTTAGCTCAGTTGGTAGGAGCCTTGTCACGATTCGCCAAGATGGTGGGTTTGTTTCCCGATTAGGGCACATTCAAGAATCAACCAATGAAGGCATGAAAGGGTGGAATAACAAATCAATGTTTCGCTTTGTCTCTTTCTCTCATCAATAAAAAAATAAATACAATCTTAAAAAAAAAATAGAGTGGATGGGTATGGATGCATTTTGTTATCAATTGATCAAGTATTTCTCAGAATGGGTTGGATATCCTGTCCAGTTATTCAGGACTTTACTGTCTGGTTAGAGAGACAAAAATCTATAAGAAGGAAGTATTATAAAGCCATATGAATACTTAAATGAGTGCTATTGATTCTAAATGCCAGCAGAAGAGCTTAAAAGGAAGGGTGCCATTCCTCAGGATGATGGTACTTCACCAGCCCAAAGTAACTATTTCCTGAGTAGTCACTATGTGTCAACCATCATACTAAAATGTCACACATATGCTATCTATTATAGTCTACAAAATAATCCCAGGATTTTGGTCCTAAGGCCCAGAGAAACTAAATGACTTGATCGTGGTTCCATAAAGAGGAAGTATGGATCTGAACGTGGGCGGCTGACTGCAGAGCATGAGCTCTTGATCACAAAACTGTATTCTCTCCTCAGAGAGAGGCAAAGGCAGACTGTCACCAAATGAATGGGAGATTCAGAGGGAATTATAGTGGTTGATACACAATCAGTCAACACTGCTGGACTGTTCCCTCCTCTGATACGCTTATTTCAAAACACGCAAGACGTTTTCTTCTGCTGTAATTTTCAGCATTGTTAGGGAATGAAATGTTTCGTGTCATTAAAAGATGGAGCAAACAAAAATCCGTCCTTCCTCAGTCATGCCACACACACACTTCTGGAGGGAAAGGCAGCAGGGGGGCACTGTAATGTGTTTGTTGGTGTTGGTAGGGAAAACATCTACTGGGCTGGCTGAAGAGTGCTGACTTACCATCATATTCCGGGAAGTAGTCAACTAGGTGGGAATACATAATTTTCTCCTCTAGAAGATCTTTCTTGTTTAAGAACAGAATAACTGAGGAGTTCTGGAACCAGGGATATGTGATAATTGTTCTAAAGAGGGCTTTGCTTTCCTCCATTCGGTTCTGAAAGACATCATCAGAAAAACAAGGTGTGAATTACTTGATTACTCAATTTGTGAATCACGCTCATTTCTGAAGTCCAGCCATCTTCTGTATGCATCTGATTTTTGTAGCCTTGGGCTGTGCTGTAGTCACTTTCACCAGGCTTTACATGTAAATGGTTCAGGACACATCTGGCCTATTCTCATTATGTAAACTCTCAGGTTGACAAGGAAAAGAATAATAATAAATCTGCTGAGATAACTCCTTCACCCTTAAGAGAAATCATACCCAAGAAAATCATGTTGAATCTAGCACACTGTCATAAATTTTCACCAAAAATTATTAGTTCATGACCAAATACCTAAGATCTGAATTAAGAGCTAAATCCTAGGCTTCCTTTTTGCATTTTCTAAGCTGTGTTTAATTTCCTAAGCACCAGAATTAGTAACTCTATTTTTAAACAAAAATTAACTCTATTTTTAATTAACTCTATTATTAAATTTGAAAATAGTTAATTCTTTGCCCAAAGTACATCTATATTTCTAGAATTATTACTATATACATAGTAATAATAGATAGATAGATCTCTCCCCTGATAAGAAAACATATGGAAAAAATATTTTTGAAACATATATTTTCCATTTATTGGAGCCTACTTTCTTCCTGTTTCACTATAATCTTCATACAGGACAACACAAATTATGTGGAGACCATGTAATTACCTGGAGATACAAATGTGATATTTCTAACCTTCAGCACTTATAAAACAGTGTTCTTACTTGAAGCTATATTATCTACTCTACCTTGGTAACATAAAATCACCCAAAAATTGTGCCTCCCATAGCCACACCCACCTCTAAATAATTCCTACCCTTGGGCCCAAAGGCAACAGAGTAGAGGAATCCTCCTTTCCCTGAGGGTATAAAAGTCATGGTGCATGGGCATGCTTCTTCCTAGACATACAGATGACACTTTCCAATTATAATTTAGTTCTATGTGCTATGACTGAGTTTCAGGCAATGAAAAGGCCTGCCTGGGATTGAGCTCACCTCTACTGCTGACAGGATGCTCAGTGGTTTTCACAAGAACATCCTATTCCACAACACCCTGGATGGCTCTGAACCTGGTCGATCTAGGCCTAAGTCATTCACAACACCTTTCCTGGTTTATAATTTTCAGTTCAGCTAAATAGCTTAATTGATTCGATCAACCCAGGAATTTTGTTGGGGACTCTGGCACAGAGAAACTTGCTTTCATGAAGAATGTGGAAGAGGAGCATCAGGAGCTCCTAGCAGCCACCGTTAAACAGGAAATAAACCAGGACCTGTGCACCTGGTTTTAACTGCTTAGTCAGATCATGCCTGTCAAGATGGAAGGCAGGTCAACTCTGTGCTTGTATCTTCCCCAGACCACATCAAATTACAACTAAATTATAGAAAAACCATCATGGAGAACCACATAGAGACTACCTGATGAGAATTCCTATAACTAAGGATATAAAGACAAAGCCACGTTGTGACTGATAGGAGGGGCGGAAAGGTGGAACAGGAGGTCCCACACCCACAGTGTGGCAATTAGAATCGGGAGGGATATCTGGCTGTGGAGCCCCTCCCTCCCCCGCCCACTGAGGAGTGAAGGGTCACATCCCTACACCTGGCCCCCAGCACTGAGAATAGGAGTCTCCATAACTCTGGCTGTGAAAACCAATGGGGATTATATCCAGGAAAGACGAATGGCTGTGGGAAACTGGGTCAATCTTGGAGAACCAGTAGGAAGACTCACTTCCTCTAAGCTTCATTGGAGGTGTAGCTGCTTGAAAAGCACCAGGAACAAATGGGGAGAAACTAAACTGACTAACTTCAGTAACTCACTCCAGGGATGGGAGCACTGGAAAGCACCATGTTCCTTTTGTAAGCCCTCCTCCCATCTAGCTAGCATGGCACTGGGGGATGCTAAATCTGTGCTCTCCATTAACCTGGCTGAAACTGTTTATCCCTCCCTGGTGATTCCTTGAGACCACCACCCCATCCAGCATGTTTGTCCAGCCTAAGACTCTTCCAGTGGTTCCTCCACAGAAGCAATCTTTGTGCTGCAGTCTTTCCCAAAATGTATCAAAGGTCACAGACCCCAAACAAGCAGTGGCCAGCCTCAGCATGCCTTTTAACTGGTAGGAGGGGCAGAATGGCTTACTGAATGGCTTCCAGACCAGTATAAGTGGCAACCAGTCTCAACTTATATTGTAATTCCCATCAGGTGGCCCCAAGCCTGGCCTAAGCAGCAACCAGTCTTGGCCGAGATGTAGCTTCAATTAAGTGGCCAAAAATCCAGTACAAGTGGCTGCTGGCCTCAGCTCACATGGTGCTCAGCAAAGGGTCCCAAGCCCAGCATAAGTGCCAGCCAGTCGTAGTTCACAGCTTAGCCTCTCCAAGCATAGCACAAGCAGCAATCAATTGCAGATCACTTTGTAGCACCTACCAAGAATAGCAGTGGCTGAGCTTTCCCTGCATCAGAGGCCCTCCCAAGAGGCTCAAGAATCACCATATCTAGGGGCTGGCTTTAGACCACACCAGAGACCACCCAACCAGCTCCACAAACACACACCTCAAGGGCAGACTCAGCTGGTACCAGAGCCTTACAAAGGTGACTCTCACTCCCTGGAGTCAGCTCTCCCACAACAGCTTGTCCAATGTAGCCATGGCCTATCTTCATAGCCAGTCATTCTAGGGGTCAAACCCACCCACTGCCTTCATTTTATAAAATGACCACTGTTTGAAACAGTGGTTATAAAGATGCTCCATGAAGTTAAGGGAAGAATAGATGAACACAATGAGAACTTCAACGAAGGCAGAAAAACATTAAAAATGTGATAGAACACATGAAAAATAACCAGTCAGAAATAAAGAATACACTAGAGGCAATCAACAGCAGATCAGATGAAGCAGAGGATCAAATCAGCAACCTAGAAGACAAAGCAGTGGAAAACACCTAATTGGAACATAAAAAAAAAAAGAATTTTATAAAATGAAGGCAGTTCAAGAAATCTCTGGGTTAAGCATACCAACACTCACATCACAGAGAGAACAATGAATTAAATCTTCTTTGAAGAAATAATGACTGAAAATTTCCCTAACCTGGCAAAGAAAATAGACATAAAAATCCAGGAAGCACAGAGAATCCCAAACAAGATGAACTCAAATAGGCCCACAACAAGACACATCATAATTAAAATGTGAAAGATTAAAGAAGTGAAAGAATCTTAAAAATAGCAAGGGAAAATAAAGCAGTTGTGTACAAGGAAGCTCACATAAGGCTGCCAGCTGATTTCTTAACAGAAACTTTGAGGTAAGAAGGGAATGGCACAAAATGTTCAGTGATGAAAAGCAAAGACCTACAACCAAGATTACTCCACTTAGCAAGGCTATCATTTAGAATCAAAGGGGAGATAAAGAGCCTCCCAGATAAGGAAAAGGCAAAGTAGTTTATCACCACTAAACCAGTATTTCAAGAATGTTAAAGAAACTTCTCTTGGAAGAAAATAAAAATATGATTAAGAAAATAATAACAAAGAAAAAATTCTCACTAATAAAAGCCAACAGTAAAAGCAGTGGATAAAACACATAATTAAAATTCTAAAAGTCAGACAGGGAGAATCTTAAAATCAGCAATGAAAGAGCAGTTAGTTATATACATGGAAGCTCCCATAAGACTATCAGCTGATTTCTCAACAGAAATTCTTCAGGCCAAGGGGCAGGGAAGAGGAATGCAAATTAAAACCACAATGAGATCACATCTGTCAGATTGGCTGTCTATAATAATAAAAGTGTAATATACCAATTAGACTGATATCCTTCCAGACCAAGCCACTGCTGGCTGGGGCCAAGACTGAGGCTGAGGCCAAGGCCCCCTGACCACCCCGGCGGTGGGAACAGAGGCAGAAGCCCTCAGCCACCATGGTCTTCGAGTACCGAGGCAGATGCCTCCAGCCAGTGCAGCAAAGGCTGAGGCAAAGGCAGCTGGAGTGGAGGTGGGGACTGATCCCCTTTCACAAATTTCGTGCATCAAGCCTCTAGTCAATAAATCAACAAACAAGTGTTGGTGAGGCTATGGAGAAAAAAAAAAAAATGCTTGTGCACTGGTGAAATTGTAGATGGACACTATTGGAAACAGTAAGTAGGTTTCTCAAAAAGTTAAAAATAGAACCACCACATGACCCAGCAAATCTACTTCTGGATATTGAGCCAAAGAAACCAAAAAACTTAATTTGAAAAGATATATTTGCCCCTAAGTTAACTGCAGCAATATTTACAATAGTCAAAATATGGTAGCAACCCAAGTGTCCACTGATATACAAATAGACAAGAAAGATGTGGTACATATATATAGCCATAAAAGGAATGATATCTTGCCATTTAAGACAACATGGATGGACCTAGACTGTATCATGCTAAGTGAAATAAGTCAGACACATAAAGACAAATAACATATTATTTTGCTTGTATATAAAATGTACAAAACAAAACAGAAACAAACTCATAGACCCAGAGAACACACTGATGATTGCCAGATGGGAGGGGCTTGGAGGAATGGGTGAAAAGGTGAAAGGGATTAAGAAGTACAAATTGCCAATTATAAAAATAGTCATGGGGGTTGAAACGAGTTTGGCTCAATGGATAGAGCGTCGGCTTGGGGACTGAAGGGTCCCGGGTTCGATTCCGGTCAAGGGCATGTACCTTGGTTGCGGGCATATCCCCAGTAGGAGGTGTGCAAGAGGCAGCTGATCAATGACTCTCTCTCATCGATGTTTCTAACTATCTCTCTCCCTTCCTCTGAACAAAATCAATAAAATATATTTTTAAAAAAGTCATGGTGATGTCAAGTATACCATAGGGAATATAGTCAATAATAATGTTTACAGCTATGCATGGTACCAGATGGGTACTAGAATTATCAGGATAATCACTGTGTAAGGTACAGTGACTATATTGTGATAAATGTCTAGTCACTATACTGTATAACTGAAA